GTATGATATGTTTTAGTCTAATCTAATTAAAAAACACCAAGTCATCTATGTAAATTACAATTGTTTAAATTTTATACCACTCATACTTGTTGGGTGTGTTTCGAAAAACAAAGAAAATTAATTAATAAAAAATTAATTAAATAAAATGACTAAAGAAAAACAGAAAATAGATGAAGCAGAAATAGTCAAAGCTTTTCTGACGGCATTCGTGTCCGCAACACGTGTATCAAGTGTGTGTTGTTGTAAACCATCTGCCAGCCTTTTATAGGGGTGGATTTGGGTGCGTAAATGGCCAGTTTTAGAAGATAGATTTTCGGACGACATTCATGTCCGCAGGTCGGACGCGCACGCAAGTCGCGCTTTTTGTTCTCCGATTTCGAGATTTGATTCGCACCCCCTGCGCGCGAGAGAGAGCCTTTACCCTTGGGAATCTTAACTCCTTAGGTTTTCCGGTGTGGGAAAAAGTCAAAAAACCACACTAGAAATTCACCTTTTCCTAGTTTTCTCCATTTCAACGAGTGAACTTCGAGAATCAATTTCTCACCCACCCGTTATCCGTTTTGAGCGTACCATATATCAAATTGTAGCCCTAAGAAAGAACAATCCGAAACCACTTTGACCCGACCCAAATCGGAAGTGGACCCCACTCAAAAAATTTCCCCAAAATGACCCGAACTTACTAGCATCGCATTCACAATATCTTTCAATGTGCGGTTCTTTCGTTCGGCAACACCGTTTGATTGAGGTGAATAGGGTGCGGTACGTACATGTACTATACACACGCTCGCTCAAAAGTCACTTATTGATGCTTCATACTCACCACCTCGATCACTTTTAACAGTTTTAATCTGTCGATTAAGTTGGTTATCCACTTCATTCTTATAAAGAATGAATTTATCGATTGTTTTGTGTTTATTTTTTAATAAATAAACATAGCTATAGGGAGTGCTATCATTGATAACAGTAATAAAATATTTATTACCGCCACGTGTTTGTATTGATTTAAAATCACAAACGTCACTATGAATTAATTCTAGTGGTCCCGTTTTCCTTTCGATCAATTTGAAAGACGTTTTCGTTAGTTTTGCCTCGACACAAACTTCACATTTGTGCTTCTCATCAATTGCGAATTTAGGAATGTGTTCCATGTTAATTAATCTACGTATAGAATCAAAATTAACATTGGAAGACTCAAGCAAGTAAGCAAAAGAGATATTATTATTATTATTATCAATAATAGTCATTACATTGAGCTTAAACAGCCCATCAACTGCATACCCCTTCCCCACATACATTCCCGACTTAGATAAAACTAGTTTGTCCGACTCAAAGACCACGCGGAAGCCATGATTGTTCAACAACGAGCCCGAGATCAAGTTTTTGCGTATCTCCGGGACGAACAAGAATTGGTTGAGAGTCAACTCTTTGCCCGAAGTCATCTTCAGTACCATCTTGCCTACGCCTTCAACCTCGGAATGAGCAGAATTTCCCATCCACACCTTCTCACCATTAGATGGCTCAAAGGCCGTGAATAGCTCCCGGTTAGAGTAAATATGCCGGGTAACACCGGTGTCCACAAACAATTCCTTGGAGTTGGATCCAGCGAGGTTGACCTCGGTCACCACGGCCGCAAGGATGATGTCTTCATCCTTTTGCCCACCTTGCACCATGTTGACTTGAGTCTTTCTTCTTTCTTGGTGCCTTGCAATCCGAGGACTTGTGTCCATTTTTGTTGCAATTGAAGCATTTTCCATTAAACTTGGGTTTGGAAACGCCTCCCTTGGAACTGAGCTTGCTGTTCCCATTATTTTTATTTTTGGAGCCTTTTTGCATGCTCCACCACGTTGACCTTGGTGCCGCTAACGATTGGGAGTTTCCCATCCGGGGCGGATCTAGGATTTTTCGTTATTGGGGGCAATGACTACTAGAGTTGGAGAAAAATCATGGTCTCGTTGTCCCATTTCAAAATATCCTGAAATTGTACCTATTTCATCCGTACAATTAAAACGTTGTCCCATCCTGTCCTGTCCTGTTGCCCCGTTTCTATGATTATCGGATTGGGACCGGGATAACCATAATCCGAACCGTTCCAAACCTGTGTGAACCCCTACTTGCTACCCAGTATGATTAAATAGTAAAGTATATGGAAATGTAAAATATGACAAAATAAACATATATTTAGTTTTTTTATTGTAAATACAAATTTAGTTCAAATAATGCTATAATGTTGTATAATCTGATAAAACACTTCGTATATTCCTAACTATTCTTCACAGTTTCCACTTTCATCAAATCTAAATTTATCTCCCATTTAATTTTAAAGAAATCAATATTAAATATATATTATGCTATTTGTATTGGTACTTTTATCTCTCTACAACTCAGTATCATCTACTAACTTTTAATGATTTTTTTTCTTTCAAATATGACTATTGTTATTTATCCCTTATAAAATCATTCACTCTTAGAAGATAATTTCATATGTTTTTGTCTTTTACTCCTTTTATGAGGCATTATTTTTTAATCTCCTTGCACAATTAAAGTGAGAATTTATTTAGGAAGAGAGGGAATCTTATATCACGAATTCATTTTTTGAAAGTGAGCACTTCATTCTTAATGTACTACGTATTAAGTACATCTACTTTTACATAGCTACTGACTTATTAGGCAGTTAAAAAAAAGTATTGGGATTATTGTATAAACAATAAAAGTATCACATAGAGAACACAATAGTGATCTAGTCTTTTCTTATTATTTAGTTGCTTAAGAATAAAATGTATAAAAATGACCTGCACTAATTTGTAAAAGTTGTGCAATATATTTGCATTTAATGGTTTCCTTATAAAAAGTTATTGGGGGCACTTATTAATTTCTATTGGGGGCACTACCTTTAAATACAAAATGTTAATTGCACTTTCTTAAAATATACTGACAAGCCATTGGGGGCATGTGCCCCCAATACAATGAGCATACATCTGCCCCTGTTTCCCACAGTTCTTCTGGTTATCCTCTTCAATCCGCATACGGAGGATCGACTGCTCCAAATTCATTTCCTTTCGCTTATGCTTAAGGTAGTTTTTGAAATCCTTCCAAGTCGGCGGCAACAAATGTATAATTGACGCCACTTTGAAAGTCTCTCTAACCGTCATTCCTTCATCTCGAATTTCGTTGAAGATCATTTGCATTTCCTCAACTTGACTCAAGACCGTCTTCGAATCCACCATTTTAAAATCAAGGAATCGGCCGACAACAAATTTCTTTGCACCGGCATACTCGCTCTTATATTTGTGGTCCAAAGCATTCCATAGCTCCTTAGCGGTAGCTAATTTGCTATAAACGTCATACAAAGCATCATGCAGCCCGTTCAACACGTAGTTTCGGCAAAGGAAGTCAGAATGCTTCCATGCTTCAACCGCGTTGAAAGATTGCGCATCCACTTCACCCCCGGTTAGAACCGGAGCGTGCTCGGTCAAGAACCTTGCAAGACCGAGAGTAGTGAGGTAAAAGAGCATCTTTTGCTGCCACCTCTTGAAGTTTAACCCATTAAACTTTTCGGGTTTCTCTACAGAGTTGCTCGGCACTGTCATCATAGGGATTGCCCTTTGGTTTGCCAAAGCAGATACTCCGCGTTGTGAACTATTGTTCACCGGAGCTCCGCTTTCAGAGTGATTGTCGTTCAGAACATTCTGGCCAACAACATTTTTGTTTTCTTGAGAAGTCATTTTTCGTTTCTTACGTGTTCCAAAAACACAAAAAATAAGTTTGTTCACCAAAGTGACAAACTACAAGTTTAAGATTGTTTACCCTAGTAGAACAATCACCGAATACATTTTAAGTTTGTTGGGTGTGTTTCGAAAAACAAAGCAAATTAATTAATAAAAAATTAATTAAATTAAATGACTAAAGAAAAATATAAAATAGATGAAGCAGAAAATAGATAAAACATATTCGTTGCCTCCCGGGGTGCTAGGAGGCATTCGTGTCCGCAGGTCGCCCGCGCACGCAAGTCGCGCTTTTTGTTCTCCGGTTTCGGGATTTGATTCGCACCCCCCTGCACGAGAGAGAGAGAGCCTTTACCCTTAGGAATCTTAACTCCTTAAAGGGGGTTTCCCTTTATAAAGGGTTCAAAGTCCCTTGGGTTTTCCAGTGTGAGAAAAAACCACACTAGAAACCCACCTTTTCCTAGTTTTCTCCATTTCAACGAGTGAATTTCGAGAATCTATTTCTCATTCACCCGTTATCCGTTTTGAGCGTACCATATATCAAATTGTAGCCCTAAGAAAGGTCAATCCGAAACCACTTTGACCCGACCCAAATCGGAAATGGACCCAACTCAAAAAATTGTCCCAAAATGACCATTTAATGCAATTTATTAACACATTTTCCAACAATACTCTAATTTGAACATCTTAACTATTAATGCAATGAAATGTTATATTATGAAAAGGATAGTCAAATTTATTTTGAGACCCGTTAAGGTTTAGAATTTCATTAAAAAACAAGTAAAATAATATATTAATTCAAAATCCTAAAATACTTTAATACCCCTCAGAAACAGACATTTCATGTAACTATTGTTTATTTTTTGACTAGTTCTTTATAATCTTCATAATTTTTCATTTTCATAAAGGGCTAATATAACGCCATGGTTATAGAATGAGTTTACCATGATTATATAATGAGTTTGCTCTTATATCATGTTAAGATCCGAATCCATCACAACAGGTTAAGATCATAAAAGATTAGCCCTAAAATCTACGGAGTATCATATTACTTTAATAATGCATATCATTTTACCGGTATGGGAATCAATTTAATGTAAACTTTCATGAATTTTCAATTCTTTAGTAATAGGCAGTCAATGGTCTAAAATGTTGTAACTAAATAGAAATAAATGAAATATATTGATTCCATCAGTAAAAAAAGTTTATACTTTGACTCTCACGGATATTAGAAATCAATTTTTTTCATTAGAGTTCCAAAAATATTGCCATTGTTTATTGAGATTATTTATTATTAATATTATCCGTCATGTGTACTGTTTCTGTATTACTAAACATATATACATGGGTACATGTCATGTATGGCCCATGCATTATTGCTTTCTATTATTCACTATCATGCATCCATTGTAATATATATATGTATGCTGCATGCACGTAAGAAGTCATGCAAGCTATCACTCTCTCAACACTAGTTCATATTTTTATCATTAGTTTTATTTAAATTTAACATGGTATCAGAGCCAAATCCTGGAAATCACGATATCAGTTACTTTTGAGATATTTCATTTTTCCCTCATATCAACATGACGGGAACGCCGCCTGACACGCGTACCTGGATCATTGATTCCGGAGCAAGTGAACACATCACTTGTGATATTACAAATCTTTTTAACGTTTCTACTCACTCATCTGAACCAGCAGTGAGAATTCCCAATGGGGAGTTAGTTCCAGTTTCTGCAGTTGGTAGCTTGTATTTGTCTAATGGATTCCATCTTCGTCGTGTTCTTTTTATCCCACAGTTTCAATGCAACCTCCTCTCTGCTAGTCGCCTCACAGGTGACCTAAATTGCACACTCACATTTTTCTCAGATTTCTGTATCTTTCAAGACTTACCCTCAAGAAAACTAATTGGCAAGGGTGGATTTTATAACGGTCTTTACTACTTAGAATTACCTATAGGTGAAAGGGTAGCAATGAGAGCCACTCTTGATTCTAATTTATGGCACCGGCGTTTGGGTCATGCCTCAAATGGAAAATTACGACACATTTCATTTCTCAAAGGTTTACAACAGAATAGTAGCTTTTGTGATCCTTGCTTACGAGCCAAACAGACTCGATTGCCCTTTCCCAATAGTACAAGTAAGAGTACATGTTGTTTTGAATTAATACACTGTGATATATGGGGAAGCTATAGGTGTGACTCTACTTCAGGAGCACGCTATTTCTTGTCCATTGTTGATGATTTTTCAAGAGGTGTTTGGGTTTACCTCATGAAAAGTAAGTCTGAAGTATGTCAAAAATTGATACATTTTTGTAATATGATAGAAACCCAATTTGAGAAACGGGTTAAACGGATACGTTCAGATAATGGAATGGAGTTTCAAACCAACATTTTATCTGAATTTTATGGCCGGCGTGGAATTATTTTGGAAACATCGTGCACAGACACTCCCCAACAAAATGGGGTTGTGGAGCGTAAGCACAGACATATTTTAGAAGTTGCTAGGGCTTTCCGTTTTCAATCAGGATTGCCAATTGATTTTTGGGGGGAATGCATTCTTACTGCCGTTTATATTATCAATAGGCTACCTTCGCCTGTTATTCTAAACAAAAGTCCCTATGAAATATTATTTGGGAAGGAACCTTACTATGAACATCTTCGCGTATTTGGGTGTCTGGTGTATGCACACGACAACAAACGCAAGGACAAATTTGGCGAAAGGGGGAGTCCTTGTGTATTTCTTGGTTATCCCAACGGTCAGAAGGCTTATAGAGTATTTGATTTGCAAAGGCAAAATATTTACAGCTCTCGAGATGTCACATTTATTGAAAATGAATTCCCATTTAAAATGATAAATCATGAAGGGCATGATTTTGCTGATATTGTTGACCGTGCATACAAAGAAATAGTGTGCCGCAGCAGTACGGTTTCACATGGAGATCATCGCACCAGATCAAGCGGTGAACACCCGGGCCGAACTCATGACCACCGTGCAGCAGTATATCAGCCGGAGCATCTCCCTTTAATTAGCGTGGAGCCAGACAACCATCTTGAGGAGGTCTGCGGCTCCACTCCCGTCTGCAGAAGCTCAGATGAGCCTGACATGAGGAGCAGCTTGCACAGAAACGGTGCTGAAACAAAAGTGGGGCCAACTCCTCGTCACCTCTCATCCACCGAACAGCAGCCCCATTCTAATGGGGACAATCCTGGAAAAGGCAGCATCACGGGTAGAGGTAGTGAAGGCACACATGCTGGGCCATCTTCCCATCCACTCTTAGCTACCGAACAATTCCCTCCAGACACTTTTTTGGATGGACATGAGACAAATACTCAAACTCATTCACGTTCTATGCATCCCACACAAGTGAACCTTCCACCGGGCCCCAATGAACAAATGAATGGAGAGAAAACTGTGGAACCACATTTAAGAAGTCACCCACGTGATATAACTTCATCTACGGATGACATTAGAAGAGGTAACAGGCTTCGGCTACTGCCTAAGCACTTCACCGAATATGACGTTGACCTGCCGCCTTCTTTGGTTCATTCACAGCCAACCACAAATCAAGCGGACTCAATAATGTACCCAATTTCTAATTTTATCACTTATGAGAGGTTTTCTAATAAACACAAAGCTTTTCTGGCAGCCATCACTTCTCATGATGAGCCAAAACAATTTTCACAGGCCATATTAGTTCCGATGTGGCGACAAGCTATGCAACGGGAGATCCATGCTTTAGAAGAAAATGGTACCTGGACCTTGGTTCAGCTACCACCGGGAAAGAAAGTAGTAGACTCTAAATGGGTTTATAAAATAAAATATAAACCTAACGGCGATGTGGAACGCTACAAGGCAAGACTGGTTGCCAAAGGCTTCACACAAGTTGAAGGAATTGATTTTCACGAGACCTTTGCTCCAGTTGCCAAACTCGTCACAGTACGATGTTTGTTGGCCGTTGCTGCCAAACGCAACTGGGAAGTACATCAATTAGATGTCAATAATGCTTTTCTCCATGGAGATCTTTTAGAAGAAGTTTACATGCGTATTCCCCAAGGATTTAGAAAAGGTGGCGACACTCGTGTTTGCAAATTACAAAAATCCATTTATGGCCTACGCCAAGCATCTCGTAATTGGTACCACAAGTTTACTCAATCACTTTTGGCGGTTGGATTTCGTCAATCACGATCAGATCATTCCTTGTTCATTTTTCAACAAGGTAAAAACCACACCTTTGCTCTCATATATGTTGATGATGTCATCCTAGCTGGAAATGATGCGTCACATATCACAAGAATAAAAGGGTATTTGAATGACCAGTTTAGCATCAAAGACTTGGGTACACTAAAATATTTTCTCGGAATCGAGGTCGCTCGTTCTCCCGAGGGTTTTGTACTAAGTCAGCGCAAATATACACTTGACATCCTAAAAGAAAGTGGTCTCCTAGCTGGTCGTCCCAGTCAGTTTCCCATGGAACAGAACTTGAAACTTCGGCCTGATGATGATAGCCCGCTAGTAGACGCTTCCTCGTATCGGCGCTTGATTGGCCGTTTGTTGTACCTCACCGTGACTCGCCCTGACATTGTGTTCTCTGTTAGTCAGCTTAGCCAATTTCTAAGCCAACCACGCCAATCTCATTTTGACGCCGCCATACGTGTTCTTCGTTACTTAAAACAGACTCCGGGTCAAGGAATTTTCTTATCTGCAGATAATGATTTCTCTTTGAAAGGTTATTGTGATGCTGACTGGGCAGGATGCTCTTACACTCGTCGATCTAGCACTGGAGGACGAAGAAACAGTCTCGGCAATTCTCCAGTTTCTTGGAGGACGAAGAAACAGTCTGTTGTTTCACGTTCTTCCGCAGAGGCAGAATACCGTGCCATGGCCGTCACAGTTAGTGAAATTTTATGGCTACGATGGTTACTTCACGACTTAACCGTTCCTCAAACTGGTCCCACATCACTCTTCTGTGATAATCAAGCTGCTCGACACATTGCACTTAACCCCGTTTTTCATGAACGTACCAAGCATGTAGAAATGGACTGTTACTTTGTTCGCGAACGTGTTGCCAGTGGGGAAATACAACCATGTTGTATTTCTACAACACATCAGATTGCTGATATTTTCACTAAGGCACTTGGCACTGACCGTTTTCAGTTTCTCAAAAGCAAGTTGGGTGTCCGTAACCTACACACGCCACCTTGAGGGGGAGTATTGAGATTATTTATTATTAATATTATCCGTCATGTGTACTGTTTCTGTATTACTAAACATATATACATGGGTACATGTCATGTATGGCCCATGCATTATTGCTTTCTATTATTCACTATCATGCATCCATTGTAATATATATATGTATGCTGCATGCACGTAAGAAGTCATGCAAGCTATCACTCTCTCAACACTAGTTCATATTTTTATCATTAGTTTTATTTAAATTTAACATTGTTTACTGGGTAAGTGTTGCAATAAATTTCTTTTGTAGAATTAGTGTTACGTGAAGGCAATAGAGTAAATGAATTACGAAGTAGATTTTATTGACCAAAGAAGGAAGAAAGACTTGAGTGAGGAATATATATATAGTATAAGATGTACATAAACTAATAAATAAGTGGAGAGGGAGTATAACAAGATACATATGAAAAAAAGAAGTTTGTTGCCCACGATTTTTATTACAAGGCCTTTCTGAGTTTCAACTCATACATATTAGTAGTCGTAGTAGATTACTAGATTGTATGCTTGGAATCTGGATGTATAGCAGGGGAGCAGTAGATTATATAGTAAAAGAACATTTGCAGCTTCCACTTCAAAGGACTGAAAGAAGGAAAAGACTTAGAGGGCCAGCGGACAGGGTGTGTAATTAATTATATTCAGGCTGTCCAAAACCATTGCTCAAAAACATAGGGTGAGTTAGGCGTTTAGAGACCAATCAAAATTGTAATGTACAACGTTAACTGGACCACCGTCACTCAAGAGGTGTGTGAGAAGACCTGCCTTGGTTGCATCTAAGTAACTTACTATCCATTTCAATATTTCCTTTTGCTGCCCAAAATCCGCGCTGTACCACTTCATTGTCCGGTTAAGGTACACAATCCTCTTGCTCAGGTCCACCTGCATCGCATCATCCCTCCGGAAAAACTCCCTTGTAACATGCTTTAGTTCAGATTCCACATTTTCAGGACTGAAAAACTTTGCAGCTGGGCTTGATCTTGTTGCATTGCACAGTCCAAAATGGATCAATGGATTCACTTTTGGAAGTGCCATCTGGTAGAAACCAATTAAATGTGTCACAGTGGACCTGATTGATAAGATTAAGGTGCAAAGCAGCTCCAACTTCAAACCAGCTTTTTTGCTCAATTCACACTTTACCATAAGACCCCCCCCCATCCCATTTTTCATATCATATTTGCTATTTAGTCAAATCAATCTTACTATAAATTTATAGTTAAACAGTGAGAATACTTTATAAAATATAGTTTTAAAAACTGGTTTTTTTTAGAGGTTAAAAACTAGTTTAAACATGTAAATGTTGTGATCTTTGTATTAAATTAAATTTTACAAAAATGATAAAATATACTCCATTCAAGTCTTGGCTCACTACGCAAACGAGACATAAAATTAGATTGAGGAAAGAACTGGGAACATTTTCATGAACATTCTGTTTGTAATCGAAAAATTGAAAATTTCATGTTTGGACTTCATTAAAGAAATGGAATAAATGAAAAAAAGGAATAATAGTCTGTATAACAAATCTTAAAATGTGAAAATTGTATAACAAATGTAATTAAAATATTAGGAACTGGAGATGGGTCTCTTATGGAGCCCGATTGCTTGATCATCAGCACTCATTTGAATCGTGGCGGGCCTTGCCATGAAAATTGAAAATGTAGGTATGATTTTGATGCCAAACAATTCGGTCCGTTAGTTTACTCGTCTCGCTCACTTGTTTTAACAAATGTAAATAATTAGGAACTGTATTTTCAGGTTTGAATGAATGATACATTTTTGCAAATATAGAAGGAATATAGCGTATGTTTTACCTCTAAACGCTTATCCCCATTGAAGAAAGGTTTTACCAAAGTAAAAGGTGCTCTTTTATTGCCTCTAAGAATCCCCTCTTTGATTGCAGATAGAGAATATGGATAGCCCCCAACTAAGTACTGAAAGTCAGCAAAGAAGGCCCTCCTGTCAATCATGCCGCCAGGATGCCCAATCCTTATCACAGCATGAATGGCCATGGCGTTGTACAAATTGAGAAAGAAGGCTAGTAATTCATCTGCTGAAAGTGTCCCCAGATTCACTCTCTGGAGATTTTGAACCAAATTTATGTACCTGCATTTTAGATTCAAATACTTGAACGATTCTTTATGTATCAAGTAATTTACACTTACAAGTCACAACACAATGAAATATGAAAAGAGTTATTTTATTATGTGCATGTTTGGTTGATACGCAGTACAAATTATTGTCTTCTTAGTTTTTATACTACGTATTATTTTAAAAGCTATTATGGAGTAGGAATATATTTTTGAGAAGTAACTGTAAGTGATATTGAGAGAAAGTCTATTTCTTTTATCATAAATTACAATTATGATGGTCACACGTTATGTACAAGAAACTTTATGTGACAAGAATCAATTTTAAGGATAAACAAGAGGGTTGAATTTCCGATCCAGATTCTCTGCCTGATTTTAGCAGTCAGGTAGAGTGCGTGGCTTTAATAGCCACAAGATTCAATTTTGGCAGTCCACACCTCTCCTCCCGTGTTGCCATTGTCATTGGATGCAGCAAGGCACCTCCACCATGCGGTAGAGGATCCAAATCCCAAAATTTCAAAGAGTTTTCATTCTCCTTGATTTCTTCTTAGTACTTTCTAGGATATTTTATTATCCAGGAAATCTGCAATTTTAGCCTCAAAACGTTTGGTTGTGCCTGTTACTAGTCATGTAACTTTATTAGCTTATAAATTTGGTTCCGTAACTAATAAATTTTTGTAATTTAGGAATTTTTCAACATAAATGTACACTTTCTGGCTAAAAAGATGCCGCCACATCAATGCTCTATTGAATGTTTACTGTACAACGAAAAAGTCCTTTAATGGCAAGGTTTATTAATTATCGGACTAATATTGAGCACAATCTAAAGTTACACGTTAAAGTTGCAAATTTCCCTTGTGATCATAACAAAAATTCCTCTTATAATAGGGAAACAATGCATGCCAAGGCCTAAAACTAAGGAAAGAGAAATCCTAACTAATTATTTGCTAAATAGATTAATACTAGTGGAGCCATGGAGGCATTATTTCTAGAAACAGTCTCTCTGTGCTTTAGTACAAAAGTAAGACTGCGTACATCTGACCTCCTTTACTCCACCGTAGGTGGGAGCCTTTGTGGCTTTGGGGTAATGATCATGATGATGATGATGATGATGATAAGCCATGGAGGCATTAAATTCTATCATAAAATTAATTAAGCAAATCAATTAGCAACTGCTTCAGATTCTCGTATTTAATTGTCCTTTTATATTTGATGAGAACTATGCTAACCAATTAAAAAATGGTGTATTGTATTTATCATTCATCTGATTGGTCCAAGGTATTATATCACTTTTAATTATCATTGAAATAATTCAACTATAATATTTTGATTCGTCCATGAGGATAAAAGTATGATACCTTATAGGTACCATAAAATTTACCTTTATATTTCCATAATAATATTATGTTGTAGCATACATTGTCACGACAACATGTTATATAATACTACGACCCTGTTAGGTAATACTCCGTACTAAAATTGACCGAATCGGTTGAATTTAATGAAATGCTGGCTGAAGCAGTTGAATTATGGGAAAATTATATTTAAAATGTACTCCGTGTGAAACAACTATGTTTTATGAAACAACTAAAATTTATTTATTTTAAAAAAACTTATCAGACTGAATATTTCAGCTAATTATTGACATTGACTAAATATACACTATATGTACTCGCACTCACACTTTTCTCCTCTATTATTCATTTTTAGCTAATCTTACTAAATATACTTTACATGTACTCGGTTTTGGTTGATTTTGATGTATATACAAAACGATTCATATTACGAGGAACACTACTGCCCACTTTAACGTACCTCCTAAATTCTTCACTGTTGGTAATGCCGACGTAATCAAGACGGCGCCTATCTTCAGAGGCAAATTTCTCTAGTATTGCAGACATTATCTTGGAAAGCCTGAGACCCATGGCAGCAGACGCTCGAGGTTCACTATCATTTGTGGATCCCCTGAAATTGTAACATTTGGGAATGAAGGGTTCATGTTCAAGGAACCGATAGAATTGCTTGTTTCCATTCTCAAACTCGTTTTCCCTGTCATACAATGAATCAATGATATCACTGAATTTAAAACCTACACTCAGAGTACTATGGTTTAAGGTTTGCGTCAACAAAAAAACTGCAGACTTCTTACCCAAACACGTGGTGGATAAAATGCCTTCTAGCTAACTGTTTCCCAATTTCAATAGCCTGTTAAGATTGAAAACACAGCAGTATATCTTATGTCAACTTTCTATGTCAAAACTCAGCCATCCAAGGACATACGATTAACATAGCCTTAAGAGGTAACACAGTAATTGATAATCTTATTTTGACTATTAAAATTTTATTATTCAATTATACGATAGTATTAATATATGAAAATACTTCTGACCAATTCAATTTAATGTATTGTTTTGAAATGTAAAACTATTATAGTATTGAGCTTGTATGAAGTATTACTTTTTTTTGTATGAAGTATTACATAAAAGAGCTTCAGAGTTAAAAGGAAAAGATCAGATCACCAAATTAATCTAACGTATAATGTATATTGACGTAGGAATTGAGAACAGGGTTTATTAAAGCAAGAAAAATTTTAGAGCCATTTTTTTATGCACGTATCCTGTCAGTGGTTTTAAACATTTAGTCCATAATTTTGTAAAAAAATGCTAGGTGTACCATTTGGCAAAATAAGCATGGCAGAGCCAGAAAAATGATCCGGTTGGAGCTCAACTAAATAAAAAATAAAAAAGGTGTATCGTTTGTAAACAATACTGTACCTCAGTTGATTTTTCATAGGTAGCTTAACTAATGTTAATTTAAAAAATAATACTAATAAAGTTATAGATTCTTAATATGTGTCATACACATTATAGACTTCACGTATGTAATGAGTGAATTATGCGTTATTTTTAAAAATTTGAAAGGGAAAAATAGCAAATAAGCCCTCAAACTAACCAAAAAGTGCAAATCAACTCTTATATAGGAAGTTCTATCTAGCCGTCGCCATTTGGGGCGGCTCCCGGTGAATTTTTTTAATTAAATTTTTTGAGCATTTTATTCATTAAGTCTAGTTTACACATACCAAA